AGACATGTTAGTAAACGAGTGGAACGGTTGTTGGTGTACTACTTCTCCCTTGACGAGAGTAGCGACCCCAAATCGCAACTTACGTCGACCAACGATTTCACCGTGTCCCAGTCATAGGCGTCCGCCACGTGGCGTACCATCGAGTCATTATGAACGGCCATCCCATCATGCCATCGATTTCGATTCACCGGGTCTTTCTCCAAGACCTCGAAGAACGTCGGACCCTCGCGAGCCCCGGGCTCCCTGGCCATCAGGGCCAATGGACCCTGGCGCGTCGCTTCGCCGCTCGGGTCCAATTTGATGGACTCGTATATGAACGAGCAGGGCCGAATGCCAAAGTCTGCCATGAAGCGAGCCTGACCGGCACTGTCCGGGTCACTCACGAAGATGGCGGACATGGGGCTGTGTTTCACGGCACCCTCTTCATCTTCATCGAGGAACCCAGCTAATCGGGTGAAGCGAATCAGACGCTGGAGCAATTCCGGCGCCACGGGCGTTTTCAGTTTCTTGACCAGTGCATCATATGGAATGGATCCGGTGGGTGGGACCTGATCTGGGACTTCAAGCCGGATCAAAGTCTGGATCGTGCCGATGTCGACTGCCTGTGCCATTCATGGGAATGTTAGTCACGTCACGGGAAGAAACAGGCAGGGGGAAAGGGGGAGTTACCGATTCCAGCAGACTCAGCAACGACGGACCCGGGCCCCGACCTTGCTGGAGAAGCTTTTCAGCGGCGAGGATGATCTCGTCTCGGGCTGCGAGCCCTTTGGGGCCAAGGAGAGTCGGGTTCCCACAGTTTGGTTGGGACCCCGTCTTGTCAATCTCATCCACCAAAAGCTCAACATTTTGGCTCAGCCTGGTAGCAACCTCGGGAAGATTGAACATTGTACAGAAAACGGAGAGCGGGGTGCGGTTCAGCTATGCAGCGTACTACTCAGCAGGGTGGGCAGGTAGTCGAGCCAGCTTTGGTTGTCGATGATAGATAAACATATAGCTGCAATCCTGAGATACGTCGCTGTGACTGGGCAACAAACGCACATAGTCACACCGCTGATCTCCGGGCGATCCTGCAGCACAGTCGGCACCGCCGGTATGGGATGAGACGCATCAACTCTGTTTGCTCATCTGGCTGCAGCAGGAACCCGCATTAGTGCAGGATTACACTCCTTGGCACGGTGTGGTGTAACCCCAGGTAATTTAGTTCGAAGATGGTGCAGATCGGCCAACCGATCGACGGACCTTGTTTCTTGGCTCTAACTAGTAGTCCCTATGCGGATGATCCTGATTCAGATGCTCGGCGCGTTCCGTCTTTTTAACGATGAGCGGTTCTCAAGTGAGCCCCTTCCGGCGATATGACACCGGAGTCACTCTAGTATTCCCCCCAGGATGCCATCTGTCATGAAGTGCGGGTATCTGGCGACGGCTGGCCTAATTGGCATTTGCATCCATCTCTGGTATTTCCGATATGGAGAACACCATCTGTATCCCTGGCGGTATGTACGATTTCACCTCTGCCTGACCATGGGCGTGTCAGCCCTGCTATATGCCAAAAAGCCACCTCAATACACCCTCTCTCCAGGGGATCTCGTCAAAGACACCTGTCTGCTTATGGTGACATACCTCATTGGACTGTTCACGTCGCTCCTCCTCTACCGAACACTGTTCCACCCCCTCCGCCAGATTCGCGGCCCCTGGGCAGCCAAGGTATCTTCATTCTGGTTATCATTCCGTCTAAGACGTGGGCCGTCATTCCGCATCCTTCATGAATTGCACGAGGAATACGGCCCCGTCGTGAGGGTTGGCCCGTCTGAAGTGTCTATCATCCACCCGGAAGCCATCGGGATTATCTACGGACCCAACTCACGCTGTTCAAAGAACGCCTTCTACGACAATGGCCATCCGATGATGTCGCTACATTCGTACCGGGACCGAACGGCCCACGACCAACGCCGCCGAGTCTGGAGCGCGGGGTTCGGGGATCGGGCTCTGCGCGGTTACGAGCAGCGCATGCGGGTCTATCGTCAGAAGCTCTTTCAGCGCTTGGAGGAGAGGGCTGATGCGGAATCGACAATCAATATCAGCCAGTGGTTCAATTTTTACAGCTATGATACCATGGGCGACCTGGCCTTTGCGCGCAGCTTTGATATGCTGGACGCAAGCCGGAATCATTGGGCGGTAGACATGCTCATGCATGGGATGATCGGGTATCGGTATTTGTTTCCGAGTTGGTTCTTTCGGCTGCTCGCTACCATGCCATCGTTGTCGAACGACTGGCATAAGTTCATCGGGTTTGCGACAGACACCATGCTGCGTCGCTTGCGTGTGGGTCGCCTTCTCCCCGATCCATCCGCCTGCCGTTTCTTGAGCTGAACATTGGCTGTGCAGGAGCAAGTGGGTGTTCCGGATATCTTCGCGTCCTTGCTGGCGCCGCTAAATGGCCGAGACCCTACCGATGACGAACGCAACATGCTCATGGGAGATGCTATGCTCATCATCACCGCAGGAAGGTTGGTTTCTGTCCAGGCCAGAAACATCGGGATACAAGTTGACTGACCATCAATAAAATCTCCACGTCAATAGTGATACCACGGCAACGAGTTTGACGAGCATCGTGTACGAATTAGCCCGCCGTCCTGATGAGGTCGACAAACTACGAGCTGAGATAGAGCCTATCGAAGCTGATAGTGACGGTGAGTACCAGCACGACACCCTCGCCAAACTACCGCATCTCAATGGCTTTATCAACGAGGCATTCCGGTTGCACTCTCCCATCCCCGGTGTCATTCCGCGAAAGACCCCGCCAGAGGGGATCCATGTGAAGGATATCTTCATTCCAGGCAATATGACGGTATTCAGTCCGCAATGGAGTATGGGTCGATGTATGAGAACCTTTCTACATTCGCTGAACTTGTGACATTTGCCGTCTGACTCCTCACTTCCCCTACCTTAGCCGAAGCGGCGTACGTTGATCCTGCGATCTTCAACCCAGAACGGTGGTACAAGCACATAGACTTGGTAAAAGAAAAGTCGGTCTTCGCCCCGTTCTCCATTGGTACGTATATCCGCTTAATTCTTGCAAGGTCGATACAATCGCCACTAACTATATTTTTCAAATCGCTAGGTCCTTATTCATGTATTGGAAAGCCACTCGCCATGATGAATATCCGCACAACCGTGGCTCGTCTGATCATGAGGTTCGACGTAAGGTTTCCAGAGGGTGAGGATGGGATCCGGTGGATGGACGCTGCGGATGAGCACTTTGCCATGGGTATACATCAGATGCCCGTCGTTTTGACCAGACGCCATTAGCTCTGTAATTCTCAGGCCTCGCAAGTGACTTTTCGTTCGCGCAACGTAGGGCTGTCTTATGGAGTCCAGCCCCCAGATCTTCAAGCCTGATGAGTTCTACGAACGGCAGTATCCTGTTTTCCACGCTGCTATGCCCAAGTCTCTGTCGTAAGGGTACTAAACAGAATCTAACAGGCCATCCTGTACCCTAGGATCTAAGTAGTCTCCTTCAACAGTTCGTATTCTCAATTTCTTCCAGCCTGAATGAGATCACTGTAATCTGATCCGTGCGCAAATTGGGCTACAAATTACAAAAAAACTGGAACACTCAGCGCTCCTTTATTTTGTTTGCTACAGGTCCAGTCCGACTCCTCACTCCTCTGTAGCCTGCAGGTTCGGCTGCCGGACAAGTGCCAGGGCAGCGGGCCGATTGCACGGTGCCACTGCTGGTGTGACAAATTCAAGTATCTGGTTCATGTGATTAACAGTACAAGATCTTCGGACATCCCCGGTGTGCAGGTGCAGCTGCGAACCTTGCATCGAGACCATTTTTCATACATTGCCTATGCACGGAGATCATGCCATCTTCTTGGGTGGTGGCGCTTAGATCGGTTCTTCACTCTCGCCTCGTGGGTGGGATTACGATTGACGAATCTCGATTGAGGAGTTTTTCTTTGCATGGCCTTTCATGATAACCGATGCTGTACAGCAAGTTTGCTCTAAGCAAGGGGGGAGCCCAGCTGTATGCATGTTACACAAGGAATAAAGCCGCAGAAGCCACGTACGTATGTCCTTCCATACTCGCTGCAATGTAGGTGAATTGGAGTTTTGCCGCGGTAATATTGGTTATAAGCCATGCACTGGGGTTGTTGTAGGCCAGTCGGCTGTCGTCATTGGGTATGTTCTTCATAGTTACGTAAAGATCAAGCTTCGGCTGACGGTCGATGAGCTGAGAGGAGTTCGTGATTGAGCAGGAAAGAAACCCCCTACTGTTCCGTGCTGCGGTGATGTGCCCTGTATTGGAGCATGTAATTCTATCTCAGGCTGTCCGTCGGGTGGCGTAGAAATGGCTTGCTGGACTTCTTGCTGATCTCTTGCCTGCTTTTCTGATCGACAAAGGTACAGTGCATAGTCTTCGCTCACCAAGGCAGATCACAAAAGCAGACATGGGATGCTGCAATGTCTGGCTTGCTTCAATATTCACTTAGTGATTGCTGCGGAGTATTCCGCAGCATGAGGCTTCAATAGTATGGTCTACACCCCCTAGACACGAAATTCTAAATGGCCGATATTCACACATCTTGCCATATACTATGGGATGGGGATTCTGCCACACCTGCTCTACCTAGCAAACAACGAATGGAACCTCAGTCACTTTCATTATCACGCAAGCCACAGAATATTCAGACATGTAGAATCTGGTGTCCAGGGAGTGTAGTTGGCCAGTACCCGCATTTCCGTCTCTCAGCGTAGCTTTCTTTTTCGGAGATCCACGGTCTACGGCTCCAGAGGGTGTACCGTATATTTAGAGATTGCTTCTCCGAAAGAAGGCCTATCCTATATTCCAACAATATCCTCTGAAAAAGCCTCTGTCAATTGATAATATGCCCTTCATTGAAGCAATACGTACGAATATACAAACATATTATTCTTACCTCAATCGGACCTTGCGCTGGTTCGGGATCGACTTTTTCGCCTTTTGTAATACGGCGATGGCACTTGCGGTAGCCGCACCCTCGGAATGGAGAGGTATTCTTCCATACAATACATCCAAGGACAGTCCGACGGTGCACAGCATGAAAGTAGCGACAGACGTCAAAAACGAACAGGGTGAATTTGGATTCTGGGACACTTGCGTACATACCGTCGTTCGCGAGCATTGCCAGAGATCTCCGGACTCACCCGCAGTCAATGCATGGGACGGGTCATTCACCTACGCCGAGCTCGACAGCCTGTCGGATGCCATTGCGTCAGTCTTGATCCTCTTTGGAGTCAAGCCAGAGAGCATTATACCCATATACATGCACAAGTCCCGATGGACAACGGTTGCTATATTGGGAGTTCTCAAGAGTGGAGGAGCATTCACCCTTCTCGATCCATCCCATCCACGGAGCAGGCTGGAGGAGATATGTAAGGAAATCCAGGCAAGGTTTATCCTTACGAGTGAGGAACTCAGCAAACAGTGTTCGGAGATGTCTTCTGTCCTAGTCGTGGAGCATCTAAGCCGGGCATGCTTGCTGAGTCCCGGCCAAGCTGGGCAAACACCGTCTCGACCTGAAAACGCCGCTTATATCGCGTTCACATCAGGTTCGACAGGAAAGCCCAAAGGCATTGTCATCGAGCATCGATCATATTGCTCTGGAGCTCGTTCGCACCTGAAGGTATTTGGTATCGATTCGACGTCGCGCGTTCTTCAATTTGCCTCGTATGCCTTCGATGTCAGCATCATGGAGACGCTTAGTACTCTGATGGCGGGAGGTTGTTTATGCGTAATGAGCGAGTCTGAACGGAGCGACCCAAACCTGTTCGTTGAGTCTTATAAGAACTTCCGGATCTCCCACTGCTTTATGACCCCATCCTTTGCGAGGACGGTGCAATGGACAGAATGTTGCAACCCGCCACCCACCCTGATCGTGGGAGGCGAGTTGATGCGCCCCTCCGATACGAGAGCATACAAAGCAATGGGAATTTGCTGCATGAACGCATACGGGCCAGCCGAATGTTCCGTCAACGTGTCTGTACAGTCTAGGGTGGAAGATGGTGTTGATCCTCGAAACATCGGGTACACCACAGGGGCGACAGCCTGGATTATTAGCCCGGAGAATCCAGAGCAGCTGATGCCACCCGGTACGGTTGGGGAACTGCTCGTGGAAGGGCCGATTGTTGGTCGCGGCTACCTCAATGATCCCAGCGCCACTCGCCAGGCGTTTATTGATACACCCGGATGGCTGCGCCGGCACCGCAAGGGTACCTCTTATCAGCACCGAGTCTACCGCACCGGCGATTTGGCCTCCCAGGACAGCATAAGCGGTGCGCTGCTACTACACGGTCGCAAAGATGCCCAAGTGAAGATTCGCGGCCAGCGGGTCGAGCTCCCTGATATCGAACACCATCTCCAACAGACTCTCCCGGACGGCGATGCCGAGGTCATTGTCGAAAAGGTCACCTTTTCCGACGATGGAGCGGAAAAGCTCATTGCCTTTGTCTTAATCCCTCCGTCTAGCACTGGTTTCATCACGGACAACATGGGAGATCGTCTCTTCCTGGCGCCGCAATCACAGATCATGGAGCAATTCGCCATCAGCAAGAAGCATCTACAAACAAATCTACCCAGCTACATGGTTCCAGATATATTCATTCCTATATCCACTATCCCTCAAACTGTATCGGGGAAAACAGACCGCAAAGCCTTGCGAACCCGAGCTGCTGCCCTCTCGAGACGGGACGTTCAATGTTATCTGCTCTCGCCCACGGGTGATAAACGTCCTCCATCCACACTCAAAGAAACAACCATCCGAAGTCTGTATAGCAAAGTGCTGAACCTACCCATCGACTTGATAGGCATGGACGACACTTTCTTGCGCCTCGGGGGGGATTCACTTCAAGCCATTCGTCTCGTTGCAGCGGCCAGGACGGCCGGGCTTGTACTACACGCCAAAGATATCCTTTCGTCGCAGAGTACGCTGGCTGAGCAATCGCAACGTGCAGGTTTGATCCAGACATCAGACCATACAGGGGAAGCTTCAACTCCGTTTGCCCTCTTGCCTGTGGCAACGAGGCACGATATTGTCGACCTGGCCCAGAAGCAGTGCCGCGTGTCTTCGAAGCTCATTGAAGATATCTACCCTTGTACCGCACTGCAGGAGGGCATGTTCATGACGTCTTTAAGACACCCAGGCATGTATACCGGGCAGATAACATTTGACATTCCCGACAGAATGGAGTTACCCCGTTTGAGGGCTGCATGGCTGTCGGTGGTGTCCAAGAATGCTGCTCTGCGAACACGCATCATCGAGACCCACGAGGGACTCATGCAAGCGGTGATCGTCGATGACTTCGCGTGGGAGGAAGAAACCGACGAGATGCTGCCTTCTGGCCGCTGGGAGGTACTCGAGATCACCAAGATCGGTGTGCCTTTGGTTCGGTTTCGCTATCGCCCTCGACATCGGCAGCTGATTATGACAATCCACCACTCCATCTGGGATGGCTGGTCGCTCCGTTTGGTGCATGAGCAACTACAGCGTGCCTACATCGGGCGCGATCCGTTACCGAGCACCTCATACCGCTCCTTCATTCAATACGGACAGGACCTACCAGGGGCAGACGAGTTCTGGGCCTCCGAGCTCGCCGGCGTGAATGCACCGATATTCCCGACCTTGCCATCTGGCAACTATCGACCGTGCGTAAACGCATCGCATCGACATGGGGTGAGAAAGTTGGTCTCAACCGGAAGGGGGGAGCATACCGCCGCTACCTATATTCACCTTGCCTGGTCGTTACTCGTTGCCCACTATACGGACGCGGACGAGACCGTATACGGGGTGACGGTCAACGGGCGTAGTGCCGACGTACCGGGGATCGAAAATATCGTGGGTCCAACAATTGCAACCGTCCCGCTGCGCATTCGAGTCAATCAGGAAGATACCGTGAAGATGGCGCTGGATCAGGTCCAGGACTCTCTCGCACGCATGATTCCCTACGAACAGGCTGGCTTGCAGCGCATCAGCCGGTGTAGCAGAGATGCCTCCGAAGCTTGTCGCTTCCAGACTTTGCTTATCATTGAAGCTCCTGCGGATCGCGACGTGGCTTGCGAGAAGAACGAAGCCAAAAACTTCTCCATTATCCGGGGAACGACTCAGACTGGGATGGACTACACCGCGTTCTCGCCTTACGCGATGATGCTAATCTTCCGTACTAGCGCTGACAAGAGCGCGATTACGTTGGATATCACATATGACGCGCAAGTAATAGGCTGCGTTGAGGTGGAGCGAATGGCTCATCAATTCGAGCATGTCTTGCGACACATCTATAAGCGTGCAACGGGAAGGATTGGAGATATCAGCTTTCTCGGGCCGCGGGACATCGAGCAAGTACAACAATGGAACAGTTACATGCCACCAGCCGACAATCGCTTTTTGCAGGAGTTGATCTTTGCTCGGTGCTCCCGTCGACCTCAGGCGTCGGCTATCATTTCCTGGGATGGCTCATGGACATATCGGGAACTCTGGGCACACTCATCGTTCTTCGCCCGGCAACTGCAGAGGTATGGTGTGACGCGAGGGACTCCTGTGGCTGTCTGCCTGGACCGCAGCAGGTGGAGCATTGCAGTCATCCTGGCCGTTCTGCTCGCTGGAGGCACATGCGTGCTGATCGATTTACTGTCTCCACGACAAAGAGTGCGAGATATCCTTCAGATCGTCGGCGCAGGCATCATGGTCAACAGTCATGCAACTGCCCCGGTGACGTCTGGCCTCTGTCCCACTGTTATCGATGTATCCCTCCTTGTGGCCCAGAACGACGATTCGCAGACGGAATGTCCCTTCAATTTGGACACATGGGAGAGGGGGGTAGGAACCCCAGAGGACCTCGCATTTATCATGTTTACGTCCGGTAGTACCGGCCATCCCAAAGGCATTGAGATGCCCCATCGCACCCTCTCCACGAGCATCTACCATCACAGCGCGGGGATGAAAGTGAAATCTAGCAGTCGTGTCCTGCATTTCTCCTCATATGCATTTGACGTGAGCATCTATGAAATCTTCACCACATTGGCCGCTGGTGGAACCATCTGCGTCCCATCCGAGTTTGACCGCATGAACAATCTCTCAGGCTTTATTCAAGACACCCAAGTCAATTGGGCGTTTTTAACCCCTTCCACGGCTAGAAGCCTCGACCCCGCAGACGTTCCCTTGCTAACCACCCTAGTCCTGGGAGGTGAAGCTGTGACCCACGAGAGCGTTGAAGCGTGGGCAAAAGGCCGCTCTCTCATCAACGGCTATGGCCCTGCCGAGGCAACGATCTGTGGAGTGGGCAATATCCCTGAAGCGGGATGGAAATCCGGCGTTATCGGTCAAATCGTTGGTGGTTTGGGCTGGGTTACTGTGCCATCAGACCCGAACAGACTGGCAGCGGTTGGCGCCGTGGGTGAACTTCTCCTTGAAGGCCCGTTCCTGGCGAGGGGATACCTGAACCTGCCAGAGGTTACGAGGGCCGCTTTCATTGACCCTCCCAGCTGGAGAACACAGATTCCTGCTCCGTCGCCCTATCCTTTCCTCTACCGAACAGGCGACCTGGTCCAATATCAGCCGGACGGATCCATTCAGTATATCGGTCGTAAAGACAGCCGTATCAAACTCCGAGGCCAGCTCGTCGATCTGAGTGCAGTTGAGGCAAGTCTCATGAGAGTGTATCCGGCTGCGATTCAGGTGGTCGCAGACGTGTTGGTTTCAGAGAATACCACCAGACTGATTGCCATGATGAAGCTCGGTCCACCAGTGACAGAGACCCACGATGATCCTTTGTTCGAGGCCCCAGACTTGGCTTTCAACGAGGCTGCTGCCTCTGTCCAAGCTCGTCTTCGGGCCATTGTACCTCCCTATATGGTGCCATCCATGTTCATTCCTCTACGTCACATCCCTCGCACCCTCACAGGCAAGACAGATCGTCGTCAGCTCCGAGACAAACTACTCTCATTATCACAAAGCGACCTCCAACGCTATATCATGAGCTCCTCGGCCAAGACACCCATGTCTGATGACAATGAACGGAGACTTCAAGAGATTTGGGCAGAGGTGCTTCAGCTCCCATGCGAAGCAATCGGGAGAGAGGATTCTTTCTTACTTCTTGGCGGCGAGTCTCTAGCGACGATGAAAATGGTAGCATTGGCAAGGCGGGTCGGGTTCGTGTTCGCTGTGGCAGACGTTTTGAACAACACGAGTCTGTCAACCCTCGCGCAGTTTCGACATTTGATCACAGAGGATGACATTCCGAGCCCGTCACCCTCGCTCTCACTGTCAACCATCGAAAGCCAGTCCCTCCAGAAGATTCTTCGACCATTACAGAACGGCGGCCTCATTCAAGGAGGCAATGACATCGCGGCTATTCATCCTGTCACTGCCGCGCAAGCATTCCTCGTACAGAGGTATCCATGGTCCCATTTCCAGTTTGACTTATCTGGCGCTATCTCGCCCAGCAAGCTTCAAACCGCCTGCACTACGTTGATGGCCCGATTTACTATCCTTCGCACGGTATTTGTCGAACATGCGGGCCATCTCTTGCAACTCGTCTTGCGGGAGGTGCGCAAGTGTGTCCATGAAATTACGACCGATGAGCCTCTCGATGACTTCTGTAATTCACTTTGTCAACAGCAGCAGGGCGTCTGTGTTGTTAACTCTACAGCGCTGCCAACTCTGTTTACTCTCGTGTCCAACCGCCAGCTTAACAGACATCGACTTCTCCTCCGCCTTGCTCATGCACAGTACGATCTCACCACAATCCCTCTAATCGTCCAAGCCTTGGCCGATGAATACAACGGAACCCTCCGTGCGGGTTTCTCCTCCGACTTCAGCTACTATCTCAATCATCACATGCGGCAGACTAACGACGACAGGGCTCATACCTTCTGGAACCAATACCTGTCGGGCTCTTTTATGACGTCTACGGATCAGACCGCAGACACTACGACGCCTCAAGAGCGCATCTTTCACGTCACTGGATCATGCACAGTTACGCCAGCATCACATCCCTTGGGCATCACAACTGCCACCGCCGTCAAAGCCGCCGTCTGCCTGGTTCTAGCCTCACGGACCGGCTGCACAGACATCGTCGTCGGTCAAACAGTGGACGCCCGGTGTAGTTCGGCTGACGGCACCCTTGACCAAATTGTTGGCCCCTGCACGAATTATATCCCGTACCGGCTCAGCGTGTGCTGTTCTAAAACTGCGTTGGAATACCTCTGCAGCGCGCAAGCCCAGCACACAACATCCCTTCGATACTCCTCCCTGGACCTCGACCAGATCGTGGCCAAGTGCACCAGCTGGCCGAGCAGTACTCAATTTGGATATATCGTCCAGCACCAGAACACTGGCGCAGACTTGGCTCTCTCGCTGGCAGGTTGCACTACTTCCTCGCCGATGACTTCTTACGGCCATGTATTTCCTCAAGGGGAGGTCTGGATCGGCTCGACGCCCTATTCTACCGGTCTGAAAATTGATGTCATTGCCCCGAGCGCAGTGCTAAGCCAGGAGGACGCTCAGGCTATGGCTGGGGAGGTTGGCGCGGCGTTGGAGAACTTGCTTGCGTGTGGAGATCGCCCTCTTTCGGATTTGATAGGAAATACATTCGCTACCTAAGCTTATTGACTAAATGTACACTCAAGTTACTTAGCTGGGTCGCAGGTACTAGTCTCTGGGGAGGTGAGAGAAGCTTATTGAGATAACGAGTCACGTTTGGAACAACAGATCCAGCCCTAGGCTGAAGTTCAACTTCCTGCCCGTCACGGTCAATGGAAAGCAGGACGGTGCGATAGAAATTCCCTTTTTCATTGTCACTTTTCACGAGTAAGTATATTTAGGCTTATACTGAAGTAGACTGTCTCTGATGGAACTTGCTTGAAAACCCCCTTACAGATTTCCCTGGATACAATGCTCAACATCATAGCCAGGTGCATTCCCTTAGCCGCATCGGAGTTTGAGGCACAGAGGTGACAGACCCATCCTAGAGAGTAGCTCAGTATTAGTCTAAAATTCTTCCAGAGTCTAGCTTTTCTGGGGAGATTAGCTCCTGCATAATCATAGAATATATATAAAGAGGAAAGACACGTACTTTTATATCCGCAGTACTTAAATTATGTTATAAGACAGTCTAAACAATATTACATTATTACTACATAGAATTAGAGGCCTAACAAGCTATCTATCCTAGAATTCCAGGTTGACAGCATATTGGAATAACGTTCATTGCAATGGGAGTAGAGCCTTTAGATTATGTGAGGGTAGGGGGTAGGCCAGGGGCTGCCCTGTACCTGTCCCTCCTAATATTAAAGGGTTCTTACCTCTCTTTGATAATTCTACCTAAGCTATTAAGGAGCATGACAATCTAAACATAATTACTAGATATTACTATAGATGCCTATAAGTTATACAGGTAAGGCCCAGCATGAAGAGGGCAAAGATGCCCCCAATGCCGATGACAATGCCATAGCTAGCGCTGGGGAAGAACCTGCAGTTCATGGAATAAGGCCATCTTATCTGTCAGGGAAAGAGGGCATCTCTGCTGTTGACCTGCTGTTATATAGGCTGTAGAGTGGTATCAAGAAGCAATGTAGACGACCCTATAGATGCTTATCTTTGGAGTATATCAATGGGGTGATAAGAGGTTGATAGCCACAGAATAGTTATTAACTTATCTCCAAAGCATTCAGGGTTCTGATAGTAGTTGGAGTAGCTGTTATTAAGCCAGTTACTACTCTTAGCCTGGAGTTGGGGTTAGCATTTGGGCATAATACATATGTTGTTATCAGTATCATCCATCATATAGTCATCACTTCACCTATGTACTCCAACTCATTAGTTGAGTAACTAACCATTGATCTATATCCTGGTCTGTCCCCCAATTCAGAAGGTAACATATGATATTAACCCAGCTGGATAAACTTAAAATTGGGGGGGCCGATAAGGTAGTTAGGATCCATGGCAAAGTCAAGGAAGCCTACTGGTTCCCTTACGCGATGAAACAGTTCTTTATCAGCAATGTCTAAAAGAACCAGTACTGAACCGGACTTATCTTAGGTTCTGTCAACAATCGTTCCCCTGCTTCAAACTTCCCTCTTCCATGGCGCCCCAAAACGACCCCCATGCTGTGGTCTGGGCGATAGCGCCTTGATATGTATGTTGCCAATTAATAAAGAGGCTTGAAGCTACCTTCTCTACGCCTATCATCCTGAGAATACAGGACTATGGCCCAGACAGCCTTAAATACTATCTTTAGCTTTGACAGGGTTGTTCATAATTACACTGAGTTGTATTTCTTCTGCAGACTGTTTGCATACTACTACAGGACATAACGAAATTGCTTGTTGTCAATCTCGGTTTGGTCCTGGAAAATTAGCCTGCATCATATACTCAATAGCGACAAACTTACCAGCATCCCATTCTCAATGCCCTTATCCCCATCCGACTCCTCCGCACTCATCCGATCCCTTCGCTGATTCTCCATGTACATATACACATACAATGCCGTAATCGAAACAAGCTTAACCACATACCCCACCAACATCCTGCTCCGTCAGCGTCACTATACCACATGAAAAGAGTCTACTCACGCAATATAAGCACTACGATACCCCGGCGCCTCTCTCTCCTTGAACGTCTGCGGCCCAATGATATTCCCCACACAGTACCCCGTAAACAGCAGGGCCCCGGTCACCTGCTTCTTGGTATACCCGGCGACATTCGAACTCACCATCGTCAAACTCATACTGAACCCGAGACCCTGGAAGTAGCACAGCCACAGCGCCACAAGCCGTCCCCATTTGTTTGTATCAGGCAGGCCAACGAGTAATCCAGAGCCAATGATACAGATGCTGTTAGCGACGATCATACACGCACTGCGCGAGTGGAATTTATCACCGAATTTCGTCGCGATCCAGCCACCCACCAGTAGCGCGAGGAATTGTACCGCGCCGCCGGGGATCTGCAGGTATTGCGTGCCGAGGGTATCGAAGCCGAACGAGCCGACGATGATGGAGGTGAACTGTTGCGGTTAGAACACACCATAGCCAGAGTTAGGGTTAGCAATGTAACTTGGAAGCAAAGCATACACTCGTCAACGCAGAGTTGGGCACCTGCGCTCCAACCGCCATCACAAAGAGAAGCCATGTTTTCGGATCCCGCGCGGCCTGCCAGACCTGCTCCCACTTGAAGTGGTGATTCTTGACGCCCTGCTGGTTCCTGGAGACGCGGTCGACGGCGATGGCTCGCTCCCTGGGGGTGAGGAATCGCGCGGTGGACGGGAGATCAGGAAGCAGAAGTAGCGAGATGATCCCTGTCGCGACGGACACCGCACCGAAGATGAGGAAGACGTACATCCACCGCGGTAGACCGGAGGTAATATGTCCCACCGCGTAGCCGATCAATCTATTTTATTCACTTCCGTTTAGCAGATTTCACAGGAGCGAGGCATTAGGCGATGGGCCTACCCGCCAAACATTGTAGCGATGCCGTTAGTGCAGTAATACGCCTCCAGGCGCAGCGGCTGCTCCTTCGCTGTATACCACATGCTCATGAGGAGGACAAAACCAGGGTTCACGACGGCCTCGACAAGCCCTAGGAGGAAGCGGTTGGCGGCGATGCCGGCAAAGTTGTGGCAGGCGGGCGTGGTCATGAGCAATGCGCCCCATACTATGAGTTCGTTAATATTGATCTAGATAAGTTCTAAGCGATGGTATACTGATGGTAGTGATGGACAGGACTTGTCCCATCGGAAGTCGCTGCAGGGCATATCCGGCCGGATACTGGGCGATCAAATAACCAAAGTAGAAGATTGAGCCGAGCCAGGCGTAGTCCTGTCCGTGAAGGTGCGTGCCTTGTTTGAGGCCGTACACCGAGGCGAAGTTAAGGCTGTTTTTGTCCAGATACTACGCAATTAGCGATGATCAATGCAACGGGAAATACGCACCTGGAGCATGTATATCACCACGAGGAGCGGAATCAAACGAGTGTCGATCTTGCGGAGGACCTTTTTCGCCTCTTCTGACGGATATTCGAGTCCTCGAGTCTGCGTGTAGACATCGTAACTGTCGTCTTTATCGGCCGAGGGATGAGAAGATAGAGATGAGTGTACTTCTGCCTCGACTTTGTCTTTGTCGGATAATGGCATTTTCTATGAGTTGGGTCGGTCTGCATAACGCAATACTGCGGATGACTTTATCTCTATATTTATACTTATTCAAGCAGTCTGTACCTGAATCATGACAACCCCACACCCCTCAAAAGCCTTTTCTTGAGTTAGGATAAACGTGCAGGACCCACCGCTGTGATATTATAGCCAGCCAATACGGCAACGTCAAACAAGGCATTTCTTCAAGAAACATGCCGCGAGTCCCACGGGAGGGGTTGATACCTGCCATAATAGACGACCTAGACGGTCAATACGGGTGTCATCCGCGACTATAATCACGACATCGGGGGGCGGCGATGGCGTCTTAGTGGGATAATTTTCCGCCATTGACAACAAATCAAGGCAATTAAACTATGATACATAACTGTCAGATTAGGTATAAAATAAGTGTATAACCAACATCCTCAATCAATCCTTCAATCCTCGAAACTCACATGAGTCAAGCATTCTACAACAACATAACCAAAATCCCTGAAGAGCTGAGATAATGAAACTCATTCATCGGGTTCTCGCATCCACAAACTTTTCTTTCTCATCGATAACCACGGCCGTCCCAAGACAAGATATGAAACACCCGCAGAGGTGATGTTAGACCTTAAGACAATTTCTGATCTGTTATTCTTGTGCATGAAACATGCTACATGAACGGACTCCTCCTCAAGATGTTATAACTACGCATCCAAATAAGCTAGATTTGTCTGGCTCAACCTGCAGGAGTAACATGCCTTAGGAGGTCGTGGACATTCCTTCGTCCATCATTACTGGCCTTTCCGACGGTAAACTATGCGTAATCAAGGACGAGGTGAGAGTTGTGACCTAACAGACTTGCATAGTCTAGCCTTTGGGGTCATGCTCATCGCCAACCAACACACGGGGAGTCCCGACTGTAAGTAATATCACCCAGCTTCTGGTCAACTATGGTTCACAATGCGTGTAATGAAGCACAATGACGAATCAAATCACTTCTGCCGCTTCCAAGCCCAGCGGAGTCGCTGCGGGTTATCTTTTCCTGACGCACCCCGACATGGCGCTGAAGCTTGTGCAATCAACGGCAAACGGTCGTAACCTGTGGAATGATTTGAATTCGCCTAAGGACTTGACTTGTAGGTGCGAAGGTATTGCTGTAGTGAGTCTAGTGTAGCTGGTAGCGCTCCAAAGTGCCTCAATAGTCTCATTATATCCTGATCCTGTGAAAGCCTGTTGAGGACAGAGCTATCTGGCTATCTGTAGGCCCCTTCGAATTTTTCAATCAGGTACATATATAATGTTCTATTGTTGAACTATGACCCGCGCATTTGCTTTGCATTGCCTGCAGCCTAGCATCATTTGACGAACCCATCCATGTGCTACTGATCATGAACCAAAGCCAGTCGGTAGCAGTAGAACGAGAGATCACATCAAGCCTTTGCTCCCCGACTCGAAAAATTGACAATCAACTGTATTGAGAGAGTTC